ATTTTTGTTTATGACCGTTCTAAGACTTTCTTCTCTTTGAATACAAATAATAATATGTTTGAAAGTTCTCCTTTGACAATATCTAATACTAAGTCAATAATCGATATCATCAGCAATGATATCGAATTTTCAGTTAAATCTGATACTAGTACCGCCTATAAAGATATTCAAGAAACCCAAAAAAAAGGACAATCGGATCACAAAAATAAAGCAGTTATTAATTTAGACGAAGAAGATCGTCAATCCAAGAGAAGAAAGTCTTAGAACGGTCATAAACAAAAATCAAATGATAAAATAATTAAAATAAGTTAGTTGAGAGTATGTATGCGGATCTAATTGTTTCTAAAATAAAGCTCATATACTAATATGCATATAGTATAGTATAAATAGTATTTATGATTGTCTCAACTGTATATTTTGGAATGCCCATAAGAGTTATTTCAAAACCAGATATACTATTTCTAGAGAACAAACTTTTTGAAATAGTGCCGAGACCATTATTTCGAAAATTTACAGTACATTTACTTTAAAGAATTCAAGTGCTAATAATACTTTATTGTTTTGTGTTTGTTATATGCATTTCATTCTGATGTTTAAGTTAAATTATTCTTCGAATATAATGCAAAACAAATATAAAAAATTTGGTACTAAACAAAATATAAAGATGACAAAACGATAACAATAACTAATGATTGTAAGTTATTTTTTAGCCAATCAAATACTTCTGGCCTGTCAGGTGGCCCACGGGCCAGACTCGACTCTGCCCGACCTTGTGATTGACATGACCTGACCCGGGTGGCCCACGAGCCATGCCGGCTCGATCGATATCTGATGAACTCAATTTGGATAAATGTTACGTGCTATCGAAACAACTAGAATGTTGGTCGTATGCATGATGAATTACGTAATAATGCAATTATCAGGGGTCAAACTCGCCAATAAAAATCCACTTCCAGGTTTTCACTCTCACGCACTCATTTAGGAATGGTGCTCACATATGTGTGTTCTGCAGGTAGGCGTTACTATACGATGCATACATATGTGCATATGAATTTATGTTTTTGTGTATCATATATGTACATATGTACGTATATGCATTATACTAATATATATAATCGATACTGTAGAATAAACGATCTTATTCGAGATTCAAAATTTTAAATTAACAGTCTATAAATAGACGATTTCTGACAAAACAGACGTTTGTTTTGAATCTTCTTGATCATGTTACGTTACACCTGATCTTGAACTCTGATTCATAGTTCAGGGGATAGATTAGGGGAGCAACCAAAATTCGGTATGGCACAGTAATGGCTGGTGATTTCCCACCTGCATAACGCAAGCTGGCCAACAAATGAAAATAAGCAGTTGCAACAAAAGTGGCCGGATTTGAACTATTCCTGCCTCATGACAGTGATGGCAAATGACCTTCAAATGACCTTCAAATGACCTCAAATGATCTCAAATG